CCAAGTAATTTTTTACGTTTTGCAATTTCATTATTTGTAAATACAGTAAAATCTGTCTGAAACGGAACCCGAATAAAACGGAAACCTGCCTAAACAGGAAAAATTTTTTGGAACGGAGCGATTGTCTACAAAAATACCTGTTCAATACGGAAACCTGCAAAACAAGAAAAATATTCGGTACCCTGCAATTCCGATTTACACAGGTCTTTTCTTGTACTCGGGTCAATAAAAATACATTTTAGTTGTCAAGATCATTGTTTTTATCACCTCTCCTCAGTGGCGAGTTATCTTATGGGCAAAAAAGAAAATTGCCTGGGGCCCCCACCGACAGAAGCACAAACCAATCCTTTTATAAGAAAATATTTTTCCCAAAAATTCCCTCGTGAAGACGTGTTTGAAGTAAATACAATACAAGGGACTCTCTAATTCAAATTTGCCTGGGCCCCATGAAGCTATAACGCCTCTCCTAACCCAATTTCATCAAACCTCAAAAGCACGGACATAGGCAGCTAGTTTTTCACAAACGTCTGTTCATTCAGTTATTCAATTATGATGCACATTCCATCACAATTTTAAAAAATATATTTGATTTGTATTAATTTTATATCTTTTTCGTAGTTCATATAAATATATTTTGGTTTTTAATACGTTTAATAATGAATACACAAAGTAAAATATCCACTTTAATCCTAGTTGTACAAACGTTCCTAACTCTAAAACATTGCTAACAATAAATAAAATCTTCGTATGCAGAGTAGAGTCAAGTTAAATATAGAAAATTGTGACCTTATATTGAGTGTTATATATAAAATGCATATATTCTAATGCAGATCAGCATTATTCTCCTNTAATAATAAATTTAAAAATTAAAAATTACTCGTTATAGAGTAAATTAATGTAGTAAAAATAAAGCAAAGTCACGTATTTACATATACAGTAAAACCTGCGTATGCCGGACTGGCACGGTACCGAATATTTTTTCCTGTTTAGGCAGGTTTCCGTTTTAAACAGGTTCCAGTTTTACTGTATTTTTATTTTTTTATTTAATTTATGCATACAAATAAATGTTTCTTCTTCTTTTATAATAACAGTATACCTACATTTGCATTCTCCCTATATAATAATATATAATTTATGTATAAATACAATATAAGAACAGTATTATACGCTATTAAATTGCATGTATTTTAATATGTTGATAATACTTCCTTATCTATTTTATTTTCAAAATTTTCCTTTATTTCAAGAAATTAAACAAAGCTATCCACTTATATAAGCAAAAAACAGATATAAATATGTATAGCCTACAGCATATTGCGCTACTGTACTGTATTGGGCAACACATAAATATGTGTAGCCCAATACAGTACATATTTATAATAATGTATAATATATATGAACATATACATAAGTATAGTAGAGTATATAAACNTTACATTAACTTATTTAAAATTCACGTGACTTCCGTTCTGGACCGGAAGTTCGTAAACGGTTAATCGAGTCTTCCGTCCCATGCGATTTCCATATCCGGTCTCTATTTTTATATATGTAAATCCGTTCTCGAGATCAACGAAAGACGGACATACAGACAGACTGTAAATCTCAGCCTAATTATCCTAATTTTGTTTATTTTAAAGCTAAATTAAGTTACAGATTCTTAATTTTAAAACGTTAAATTTCGTTAATTAATTAAGTTTAAAGGCTGTTTTTTTTTTTCTTTCTTCCTCTTAATTTTTATGAAAAAATTATAATAAAACAAGTTAATTAATTCGAAGAAAACTAAAATATGACCTTGAGGGAGGGGAGGAAAAGTAAATAAGGAAAATAAAATTATGATCTGGAGTTTAAAAAAAAAAATATGAATTGTTAAAGAATCGAGAATTTCTCCAGATAATCATCTTATTGTATTGAAGAAATATGCGCAATTATCGAGAAAATATACTTAAATCTGTTGAATTTTCAAGTATAAGCCATTATTACACAATCAGAGAGGGCCCCAGGGGCCCCTTACTTTTGTAAAAGACACCCGGGGCTCTCCCTGATTACATGTTTACTCTTCATCCACATCTCTAATTGATACACCAGTAGCACTATACAGGGGTGGTTTGCACGTTCTAATTTGGGCCCCTTCTATATGTTTCAAGTTATGTTAATTAATGCCAGTTAGCTTTAGGTAGTGATTTTTTTTCCTAGGGCTTTTATCGTTTGAGACATTTCGGTTTATCGCCACACTCGATTTAGTGACAATTTAGGTGCGCTAAATCGAAGCTAGACAAGTCCAGTATTCAAAATACAGTACAGTCGACCCCCTATAACACTGTTGATAATTCCGTTTTATATGAATTCCATGTTGTACGAGTCACTTAGATTTTACAAATACGTGAGCAGTTCACAGCTCGGCACACATATTTGTAAAATCTAAGTGACTCGTACAACATGGAATTCATATAAAACGGAATTATCAACAGTGTTATAGGGAGGTCGACTGTACTTGGTATGCTCTTAAATCTTATACAATAAGTAACGTGTGATGTGTGTTTTACATTATATATACTTATATGAGGCCTTCTTATTTACTTGTACCTTATATCGCGTAAGGTCTAAGGCCCCTGTACGACTTGAATTTCTCCTTTTTTTTTTTTTTCTAAATAAAAGAAAAAATAAAATAAAAATAGAACGTGTCCGGAGATTTTCTACGTTCCTAACCAGTTCTTAACACCGATAAATCAATTGATAAAGTGTTTACGTACAGACATTCTGACAGACGAATGATATTTTAAAATAACTTATTCACTAAAGAATGCAAAAATATGTGATAAATTTTGTTTAAGAAGTTAATAATTTATAATAAAAATACGCGAATAATTTATGTAATTTAAAATTAATATTTAAATAAAATTATCAAGATAAAATATATAAGAAAGTGTCATAAATATATTAAAATATATAATAATAAATTTAAAAATTAAAAATTACTCGTTATAGAGTAAATTAATGTAGTAAAAATAAAGCAAAGTCACGTATTTACATATACAGTAAAACCTGCGTATGCCGGACTGGCACGGTAACGAATATTTTTTCCTGTTTAGGCAGGTTTCCGTTTTAAACAGGTTCCAGTTTTACTGTATTTTTATTTTTTTATTTAATTTATGCATACAAATAAATGTTTCTTCTTCTTTTATAATAACAGTATACCTACATTTGCATTCTCCCTATATAATAATATATAATTTATGTATAAATACAATATAAGAACAGTATTATACGCTATTAAATTGCATGTATTTTAATATGTTGATAATACTTCCTTATCTATTTTATTTTCAAAATTTTCCTTTATTTCAAGAAATTAAACAAAGCTATCCACTTATATAAGCAAAAAACAGATATAAATATGTATAGCCTACAGCATATTGCGCTACTGTACTGTATTGGGCAACACATAAATATGTGTAGCCCAATACAGTACATATTTATAATAATGTATAATATATATGAACATATACATAAGTATAGTAGAGTATATAAACCTGTATATATAGTAAAACCTGCCTAAACCGGACATAATACTTTTAAGGTTTGGTAGGTTTCCGTTTTGAACAGGTTCCTTTTTAACACAAGAAATCGTTGCTTCTTGAAGAATTTTTACCATTTACTCAGGTTTCCTTTTTATTCGGGTTCCGTTTTAGACAGGTTTTACTGTATAATGTTTAAATTAAAGTTCTTATAACTTACCTTTGATTTCCTATCGATAAATTCTCATAAATAATGTAAACTCATATAAATTTTATTGTATTTTATTTTATTTTCAGTATATCAAAAAATGAAATTTATTCATTACACGTGACAAGGAAGTTACATTTATACACCTTAAACCACCTACGAATGCCCTAAAATTAAAATATCTTTAAAGTAAATCAATCAAAAATAGGAAAATTATTATTAATAAATTTTAAAGTATAATTATATTAATTATTTTTCTACCATTATTATTCCACCATTTTGTGGTGATTTCAATAGGGTATACTTGAGGTTTTGCGGGGCCTCCGAAAAAATTTACTAGTGGGACACCAAAATATTTGCAAAAAAAAAAAAAAAAGAATTTCATATTAAAATTTCTTAAAAATTTGAAAGTTTGGGGCCTCTTCGAGGGCCTCTGCCGGAGGCCCGAAATCAGACGTCTAAGTCGGCTATTAGAATTCAAGTTTTTAGATGTTTACAATTTTAAGATTTATTTATAAAATGTTAAATAAAAGAAACGACAAAACTCGTTTAAAACGGAAACCTGCCAAACCGGAAAAATATTCTGTACCGTGCCAGTCCGGTTTACACAGGTTTTAACTAAAGTTAAAAAACCTGACACGTTAATGTCGTATAATTTAAGTGAGGTTATACGTGTTATAAACAGTGAAACTTGCTAATGTGACCAGCACAAAATTGTCATCTTACACAGGTGGTCACCTTATGCAGGTGATGGCATTAGCAGGTTTTACTCTACGTGTTTATTGTCAATTATTTCACTTTAAAATCAGTACATACCCTATATGATCTAAGCAACTTTTAAGTACGATTTACTAGCGAATTTACGTAAATGTATTTAAACTTAGAACCTTTACAGATATCTAAAGTTTAAAATTAAATATACAGGATATAATTTAGTCTAAATATAGACAAACTAAACAAGAAAGTCGTAAACAAATTCAGATAGAGAGAGTGAGAGAGAGAGAAATAAATACAATTTTAATCCCTATAAAAGTTTGTATCATCGAGAGTAAGGAAAATAACACTTAAAACATAGTGTTTTCTAGTTAAAAATAGCATAAATTATGTGTATTATTCCATTGTATATTTAAATATAATTTTTTTTATATACAGTATAAGGCCTCTAACTTAAGTTACGTGACGAAGGTAAACTGCATTGTCAAGTTTTGTTGATTTTATAAGGTTATATAATTATATATTATTATAAAATAAGTGTAATTAATACACAATGAACTTACCTGTAACGTAAATATTTAATATTTCTACTGCGGAAGGAATTAACAAGGGCATAGAGCTTGTAGGGAGTTAAACGAAGCAAGGATGTTATAGCCAAAGGGTGAGGAATGTAGCTGTGTGTGTGTGTGTGAGTGTGTGTGTCTGTGTGTAGCGGGTTCAAAGACATCATCATCATTCGACCTTAGCCTTTAGTAGATAATAAGGCTTCTACCTACTTGAACAGATTTTTCTGCAAAGTTCTCACACCTTATTGATTTATATCGGTGCCATTACACTTATTGCTTATTTTTGGATTTGTTATTTTTGGTTTTCGTGCTTATTTTTGAGTTTCCTGATAGTTTATTTTATGTTTTTACAATAATAATTTACTAATTTATCACATTTATTTTATTTTCTAATTAAAATTTTTACAGCTAAACCTGTGTAAAACGAAACCTGAATAGAAGAAAACCGGGAAAAAATCTTCGAAACAAAGCGATTTTCTATGTTAAGAAAGAACCTATTCAAAACGGAAACCCGCCAAACCGAAAACGTGAGAGTCCGGTTTACACAGGTTTTCCGGTTTGGCAGGTTTACGTTTTAAACAGGTTTTAAAAAAACATAAAAATCGCTTCTTTCTGAAGAGTTTTTCCAGTTTAGATAGGTTTCCGTTTTAGACAGGTTTTACTGTATATACTTTACGAATGTTTATAAGTAAATCTAGGTAAAATTATTGTATTATTATGAACATTTTTCTATACTTTTTGCTAATTTTTAAAAATAATTATTATAATTTTATAATAAAAAAAAATAATTTACAAAGTTTTATAAGCTTTTAAAACAGAATTTCTATACAAAAATTAATTTATAAACAAAATTGAAAATTCCACTTACAGAGATTTATGCCCTGTTACATTAATAACTAAATTAAATTTATAACTTAATAAACATCTTAAATATAATTAAATTAAAAGCGTAAAGTAATTGTGATTAAGATAAAAGTAAATAACGTTTAAAGTGACTTACGATTTTCTCATATTTAATCGAGTTTAACGAGAAAATAATATTGATTAAGAACAACGATTCGATATTGCTTAAAGGATAATGATAAACAGGTAAACGAAAATAACAGTTCACTTACCTTACGGCCAAATAAACAGAAACACAGACTAGCAATGCAGCAATCATGATGCAATTATACGTAACACACAAGCATCTGTGATGAAGAAAAACAGCGAAATGATCATCCGCCGATGGGTAATGTTCCTTTAAACAGAATTTAATCTTTCATCTCTCTACTTTTGATGAGATTTTTTGGCAAAAATGGACTATGAACAGAGATTAAACTATGTCAGCCACGTGTTTACGATATTGGAAAAGATGACGACATAATAAGTTTGAACTTTACGTGTGACGTTCGATGACGTCTTTGCTTCTGGCGTGTTTATTAGTCCACGTGTTATCCGAGGGAGTGGCTCTTCTTTTTTTTTTTTTCTTTATCGCACTTTAAATATTTGAATTTTAATTTTTACAATAACAAAAATATCGTTTATTATTAATTAAACGTTAAAATTGTAAATATATATTTTTAACAAAAATATCGTTTATTATTAATTAAACGTTAAAATTGTAAATATATATTTTTAACGCGTATACAATTATTATTGTATAATTTTAAATTGATCTTAATCTTAGTTTTAGTTCCTCCTGAGGAGCTATGGACATAGAGCAGCAAGTGTTCTTCACTTTGCATGATTTGCTGCAACATGTTTAATAAATTAACATGTTCTAACCAATACTAAGACGTTTCAGTCTTTCTATAAAGATAATGCGCCCAGTCCTTTATTAATTAATTAGTACTCACTTTACAGATTTGGGATAAATAATTCGGCATTTGACCTCTTCGTGAGTTTAATCTTTCTGAAATTCCTTCGTTTGTAATGTTGTTTTCGTATGAAATACCTCGTGTTTTACATGGAAATATTTGCCAAAATATATATTCTATCTTCATGTGACGTGTTCTTCCATACGTAATTACTTGTAGAATGATGGATTGATACTGTTGATGATTGCTGCTGTTTACTATAACTTTATTGGAAATCGAAAGCTGTATTTACTTAATTACCTTATTAAATGTGCAAAAATATGCGTGAAGATATCATTATTCTTTTACAATACTTTATTCGGGAATAATTCCTGAATATTTCTTGAATTATGATTATACACATAATTGAATAATGGAAGTTTTTCAGAATTATTCTTGAATAATGAAAATTCATTTTGCAATTAAATCTATGAGAAACCATTTAAAAAAACTAATAATTATGAACAGAAAACAATATTTTTCTTTAAAAATTATGTTCAAAAACATGCACTTTATACAGAGTTTTTATAGTGTTTTTCTTTATAAATTGCATAATTTTTAAAGAAAAACATTGTTTTCTGTTCATAATCATTGGTTTCTTTAATCGTTTCTCATAGATTTAATAGCAAAATGAATTTTAATTAAGTAAATTTATACAAAAATCGAAACATAAATTAATGAAATAACCATTAGAAGATGATAAGATAAAAAGTATATTTAAAATCACCAATAAATAGAGGCAGGACTTCGCGATATACGTAAGATATTGTGAGAAACATATTTAATTAAGTCATAATGGATCCGATTGGACAATTGATTTAAACAAAGTAGAAATGGGCGGAGTTCCGCCTTTATTGTTATCCATTTCTGTATCTTTAACCAATTAAATTTAATTAAAACTTTTCCATCAAATAACGTTCGTATTTATAGAAAGTTTTTATGTAATTAATCCTTTCACTTAAATTCTATAAATATAATTTGAATAAATTTACTTTTCATCGGAAAAAATATATATTTTTATAAGATTTTTTCTATATTATAATGCAAAATATTTAATATTTTCAAGTTAATTCTATAGTGAAACCTGTCCAAAACGGAACCTGAATACTAAGAAAACCTGTCTAAACATAATATATATATTTGGTACCTCATAAGTCCGGTTTACACAGGTTTTACTACATAATTATTTGTTATATTCTAAGAAATGTATGTATACAATGTACTAACCTTGTGACTTGTGTATTCATTTAAATAAGTAGAAAGTTAAAACTGTATTTTACCGTTCAGGTATTTGGTATCTTGGTTACTTTATCTTCATAATAAATTACATTATCATTGATCGTTGAACTCTTTATCTTGTGCATTCATTAAATTAGAACAGTCGTGAATCAAAATTATATCTCATTTTTTATTAATTTTATTATGTTTTATCTAATTCTTTCTTATTAAAAAGATATAAAATGCATTATTACTAACAATATTTCGCTTCCAAATAATACAAAATAGATTCTTTTACAAGGTTTTTTTTTGTAGTTTGCATCATCAAATATGTCTGATCTCGATGCTTTCATTATTAATAGGAATATGTAATTTATTACCATTTTATTGCGTAAATTTTCTAGCAAAACCTGTTTAAACCTGCCAAATCAGAAAAATATTCAATAACGTGCGAGTTCGGTTTATGCAGGTTTTACTGTATATTTACAGTAAAACCTGAGTAAGATGTACAGTATATACGTATGTTATATGAACACCCCAGAAAAATGCTGTGTGTGTGTGTGTGTGTCCCTAATCCCAACCACACCTAAATTCCACCCCTTCTGAACTTAAACCCAAGTAATTTTTTACGTTTTGCAATTTCATTATTTGTAAATACAGTAAAATCTGTCTGAAACGGAACCCGAATATAACGGAAACCTGCCTAAACAGGAAAAATTTTTTGGAACGGAGCGATTGTCTACAAAAGTACCTGTTCAATACGGAAACCTGCAAAACAAGAAAAATATTCGGTACCCTGCAATTCCGATTTACACAGGTCTTTTCTTGTACTCGGGTCAATAAAAATACATTTTAGTTGTCAAGATCATTGTTTTTATCACCTCTCCTCAGTGGCGAGTTATCTTATGGGCAAAAAAGAAAATTGCCTGGGGCCCCCACCGACAGAAGCACAAACCAATCCTTTTATAAGAAAATATTTTTCCCAAAAATTCCCTCGTGAAGACGTGTTTGAAGTAAATACAATACAAGGGACTCTCTAATTCAAATTTGCCTGGGCCCCATGAAGCTATAACGCCTCTCCTAACCCAATTTCATCAAACCTCAAAAGCACGGACATAGGCAGCTAGTTTTTCACAAACGTCTGTTCATTCAGTTATTCAATTATGATGCACATTCCATCACAATTTTAAAAAATATATTTGATTTGTATTAATTTTATATCTTTTTCGTAGTTCATATAAATATATTTTGGTTTTTAATACGTTTAATAATGAATACACAAAGTAAAATATCCACTTTAATCCTAGTTGTACAAACGTTCCTAACTCTAAAACATTGCTAACAATAAATAAAATCTTCGTATGCAGAGTAGAGTCAAGTTAAATATAGAAAATTGTGACCTTATATTGAGTGTTATATATAAAATGCATATATTCTAATGCAGATCAGCATTATTCTCCTGTTTTTTATTTGTAGTAGGAATGATTCAAATGCAGATCAGCATCATCCTCCTGTTCTTTATTTGTAGTAGGAATGATTCAAATGCAGATCAGCATCATCCTCCTGTTTTTTATTTGTAGTAGGAATGATTCAAATGCAGATCAACATCATCCTCCTGTTTTTTATTTGTAGTAGGAATGATTCAAATGCAGATCAGCATCATCCTCCTTTCCATATTTATGATAGGAATGATTCTAAATAATTACTTAAAAATGTGGTATGATCTTATATAGAATTTTTGTATTTTTTCATACTTGTGGACATAGATGATTTCTAGAAATTAATCCGAACATGACACTGGAAACCATTAAAATTGCTTTTCTACTTCTAATTCGATGTCTACGCAATCGAAATAAAGCAATTAATGCAAAAAACTCTTTAATATAAAACTCAAAAACAACACTTTAATATCTCTTTTAAAAAATAATTAAGCTTAAATTTTAAAAAGGAAAAAAAATTTTCGCACTATGCGAGTCCAGTTTACACAGGATTAAATGTGTATAAAGGTTATCAATTCGTATGTATATCTATTTACTGTATAATAGTAGCTTCATCTTGCGCTCCCCAAATCCGCTTAATGAAACTTACATATGAATCAAATGGTAATATAACTGTACTAAGCAGCAAAGCACAGATAAAAAGTAAACAAAGAAAGAATAATTATTGTTTAATTATAATTAATTAAAACTTATCTTAAACGTGATAACTTTGTATTAAGATAATTGATGATGATAATATAA